AAAAATAAGATAAAAACAGAGAGGGAGGGAAACCATAAGAGACCCTTAAATGCAGAGAACAAACTGAGGGTTGATGGGGGGGAGAGGAGAATGGGTGATAGGCATTGAGGAGGGCACTTGGGATGAGCACTGGGTGTTGTATGTAAGCAATGAATCATGGAAATCTACTCATGAAACCAAGAGCACATTGTATACACTGTACGTTAGGTAACTTGACAATAAATTATATTTAGGAAAAAAAAAAGACCCAAGTGAAAAGTTATGAATGAAAAAAAATAGAAAAAGTAAAGTAAGCTCTATACCCAATGTGGGGATTGAACACACTACCCTGATATCGAAATCTGCATGCTTTACCAATTGAGCCAGCCAGGCACCCTTGGTCACAGGTTTAATCTGAACACTGCCCCTGCATAGGAACAAAATGATTCAGGGTTTGTCTGCTGTGGTGCCACTGGAACACCCTGTATTTGTGCTCACAGAAACTGGCACCCTGCTGAAGTGGCTACTACTTAGGAAGCAAAAGAAGTGATTCCCTTCCCAATTTTCAACCAACAAAAAGAAAAAAAGAACTCTCCTAGGTATTCAAGGCTGTCAAGTGTTAGAGTCGTATTAATGAGATTGTGCCACTTTCCAGGAATTTGTAATTAACATTTTTAATGAAGGTAAGACTAAACCAACACCAGACATTTGCTGCTTGGACCAAGCAAACCCTAAAGCAATTATATTTGAAATTTTAAAATGAAAAATGTAATTTAAGGAGAAATAAAACAGGAAAGCAAAAATTGGTATATCACATTACCCTGGAATAGAGACATTTTATCAATGATGCTTTTGAGTAAGTTGAGTGCCTGCCGTTCTGGGTTGGGTCCCTGGGGGCTGGAGTAAGGAGAAATGGTATAAAAATAACCACAAGTTAGAGGAGCGACCAGAAACAAGTGAAATGAAGACTGATAAAGACATACATGCAGCTGAAAGAAGGAAGCACACATGAAACAAATAGAGGGGAGAGATGACTTAGCAAGGGCAAGTGGACTCTGAGCCCTGGATCTGATCATGATCCTGTCCAGCCCCAAAAGCCTAGTGGCTGCCCACTTCCTAGAAAACAATGGAATCCTCTTAGGATAGCCTGCTTCCAAGCCACCTTTCCTGCCAGTAACTTCCCAAACATCCTGGCCGAATGCCTATGCACAAGCTCCCTCAACTGTAGAGGCTGAATAGCCTTCGGACATTGGTGACCTGCTCTACCTTGACTGTCCTGTTTGCTTCCTTCCCCTGCCCTAATCCTTTTACATTTTACAGCTTCTCCAGAGAAAGCCCTTTGCCAGAATCTCTGCCTTGCTTCCCATGCCCAAGGGGCCCTGAATTACAGACTTCCTGTTTCAAGTACCTCCAGCATTTTTCTGTATGACTTAGGTTCTCCGTTCAGGCACGGACCTTGTTACATTTGCCCAGATGGATCATGAGCCCTTCCATGAAAGTTAACATAGCTTAATGGCCTCTGTATCCCTGGAGACTGCTGTAGTGTCTGGCACATTCTAGTCATTTGGAAATGTTAGATGTCCTAATGAGGATGTCACCATTCACTGTTGCCAAAATTTAATCCATATATCTTGACATAACTGAGATGTACAAGGGGACATGGAATTTAGGGTAACAGAAGATGCAATTAACATTCAGGTGACCATCCTGAAACTTGAAGCATGTGAGTAGATTAGCAGGAAAGAAATTGGTCTACAAGTTATAGGAATTTGCCTATACACTGCAGAAGTAATCATTCTGGCAAGAACACAAAATTATGAAAAATAAATTCTAAATTCCTTGTATGAATGTGACAAAGAATGACACTGGGGAAATCTATAACAATGACAAGCAATTGCATTTGATCCTTTAAACCACATTTTTTGTGCCCAAACAGGTGACATGAGGAACATTACTCGCTGGCAGGGCTCCACGGCCAAAAACAAGTCAGGGCCAAAGTGCCTAACACAGCCTCCCCTTGGGAGCACTGCCATTGCATGGATGGAAGTCTTCAAGTCTGCAGCGAAGAAATCTGTTTAACTTTGTTGAATCTAGTGTTTCTGTTTTCTCTTTCTTTATATACCCACAAAAATACCTCATCACTTATACTCTATAGAACATACTTTGGGAAACACTGCTCTAAAGACTTTAGAGACTGAGGCAAGGTATATAAGGAATTACTATTTTCCTTTTACCGAGCAGGTAACTGAGACTTGAGAAAATCGATTTGTTTAGAGTCCCACAGATTCTAAGCAGTGGAGCCATTCGCTAATGAATTCCACATTTGTTATTTGCTGGCATGTTAACATGCCAGGCATTGTGTTAGCACTGGGCCCCCAGTTCTAGAGGGCAGGCTGCCTTCCTAACCTCAGGTCACAGAATCCTAGACCATTAGAACTGAAAGCTTCTATAAGAGACTAGTGAGTGCAACTGCCTCAATTTCAGAAGGGGAAAGGGAGTCTCAGTAAAGGTAAACAACTCCCTAAGGCTTTACAGGTTAAAAAAAGAGGCAGAACTGGAATCCCAAGCCAGGCATTTGTCTCCATACCCTGGTTTACACAATGTAACCGCTCAGCCTCCAGATATGCTCACAAAATATACAACTTAATCTGCTTGGAAATCTTTTTATTTTTCACTTCGGCTGGTTCTTGATAGGATTCCAGAGCCAGCACATACCCACATTGGGATGGTGTTGTTTCTGCTTAGAAAATATTAAGAGATTTTGCACTTTTAATCATTTCCCTGGCATATTTACAAGGGCACTTGAGGGTCACAGAGTTATTTCCATGAGTAATCAAACTTTTTGATTAACTATAAATGATACATTTTCAAAAGTGAATGTGTATTTTTGCTGTGAATTTCTGAATTTAATGTGTTGAGTAGCTGAGACTGTTTTTGTTTTGGGAAATTCGTGGGGGAAAATGAACTTTTATGAGCCCTGAATTTCCCTCCAGAGAAGTGGTTCTTCCTTTTGTCTACAGATCTGATGAATCATATGGATCTTCTGTCCCAGAAAAAAAAGTGCATGTTAGTACACAGTGTTCCCTCCCATTTCAGAGGGTTCTCCAGCCCCGTTAAAACCCCTGCTCTAGGTTGTGACACTGTAAATTTTGTATGTATCTGCTTACTTCCACTCTTGATATTTAGGACACGCACCTTCTACTTGTGAACTACAATCAAGAAATCAAGAAAAGGACTAGGCATCAATATATGTCCCTGAACCAGAAATAACTAAAATGTACTTTCAAGTTTCCCTGAAAACAGCTACAACAATCATAAACCATTAAGAGAAACCATAAGGACAAATCCTTACAATAGGTACTTATGTGATTTAGCTGTGGTTTATTTAACTATCCTTAGATGAGTGGAAAGTAGGGTACACTTTGTGTCTTCCAGCTCCTCCAAGACCTACCAAGAGGTAATGGAGAGGGGAATTTAAGGAGAAAACAGAAACAAAAGAAAATCTTCAGTAGAGTGAAATTTGGAGTGATTTGGAGAAATTTGGAGTGGAAGTCTTTATTAGAACGAAATCTGGAATGGTTATAAATCAAGACTATGGAACCTCATTTTTTTCTCCTCCACTTGGGATAATCCAAATTTCTTGTTCCCTGGAATCAGGAAGACTAGCTTGACCTTTTTATTACAAGGTACTGCTGGTCTCCAGTCAACCTTCCCAACACCCTTTCCAACAACCTCCAAGGAAAGCATCCTTCAAATGCCAGAAAGGGCATCAGTTTTAAACAATTAATGTTTTCCACCAAATTAAGAATTAAAAAGTCAAGTGCCAAAAATGAAGGTAGAGAAAATATGAAATGAAAGTCACTCTGTCGCTGGAAAACACCCAGCATGTATGTATTACTCCACAAAAGTTCTAGAAGAGCTGCTAAATCCCATGAAAGCACTATCATTTGGACGTTCCAGTTACAGATTTAATTTAAAATCATTACTATAGCAAATAAGGTTGTATGAGAACTTGTGTACTCTGCAGAGTCAATCTACGGGCAAATACTTTATCACAGATTTTATTCTACTAGCTAGCTAAGTTGGGGGCAACATCAGCCAAGCCAACTTTGAAAGAGAAAGGAAGTTGCATTTTCTTTGTTTCAGTCTATAACTATTGTGTGTGTATGTGTGTGTGGGGAATCTCATAAGTCAAAACCCACTCAAATTATAGGTCATGGCTTCCCCTCTTAAAATTCATCAATTGGATGCCCAGCTGAAGCTTTCAGGAGAGGAATTTCCCCAGCTTGGACTCTCACCAATTTCCTTCTAGGTCTTAGCAAGTCAAGAGCCCAGCTTTATAGCCACATGCTGAAGGCAGATTCTTATAACAAGTACATACCTGTGGCAGCTTCATATCATTAATATCCCAGCTTAACATCTCTTTTTCCTCGGAATCAAAGTCCTCAGGCTCCATGATAGTCAGATCACCCACGGGTTTCTGTCTATCCAACTTCCCGCAGAAGTGGTTGAGATTTTGCTTTCAAAGGCGCTTCGTAGACTTGATCAGTCCACTCTTTATTCAAGCAGCTTAGACCTGGAGACTGATTCTTGACACTAAAAAATAAATGATAGTAACACTGACCGTTAGAAATAAAAATCAGTGCTTGCCTGCTAGAAAAACCTGTTTCACTGACATTTTTTCAAGCACCAGCATACAAATAAAAACAATGTAGAAGCCATTAGTATCTTGTTGAAATAAAGCTTGACCATGGGGAATCAGAAGCACCATGATCATCGTTTTCACCTCAGGCGTGGGCTTCCTTTCTCACAGCTAGACGTCTCCAGCTTGGGAAAGCCTGAGTAGCAACCATTGTCATCTGCAGCCAATAACTAGAACCTTTTCCCCCATATTCCCTGGGGCAGGAGGAAGAACTGGCTTGGGGTTATTTTCATGGATATACTTTTGTACATTAGCTAACATGTGGTTCAAGTTACAAGTGGGAAACATCACAACCAAAGGTATCTAGAAGTATTTTTTAAATCTAAATTGCCACAGAGATTATTTTCCCTCTCCTCAATAAATCCAGTGTGCACTTTGTATCTTCAAATATTATCAATGGATATCCTCATCAGATTCCTCTAAAGCCTTGGCATTAAAGACATTTTAGACCTGATAATTCTTTGCTGTGGGGGGTTATCCTGTGCATTGTAGAATGTTTAATAGCAGGGGCACCTGGATGACTCAGTGGGTTAAGCTTGTGACTCTTGATTTCGGCTCTGGTCATCATGATGTCATGGTTTGTGAGATAAAGCCCTGAGTCAGGCTCTGCGCTGACAGTATGGAGCCTACTTGGGATTTTCTGTCTGTCTTTCTCCGCCCCTCCCCCACTCATGCTCTCTCCTCTCCCTCTCTCTCTCTTTCTCAAAAATAAACAAACATTAAAAAAGAAAAAAAGAATGTTTAGCAGCATCCTCGGGCTATGACCATTAAGTGTTAGTAGCAACCCATCCCATTGTTGTGACAACCAAAAATGTCTCCAGACATTGCCAAATGTCCCCTGGGTGGCAAAACTGTTTGAGAACTATTGCTTAAAAATAATGTTTCTACTATAACTCAAAGCACTCTTCAAGACTTTCCGATAGCAATCTCCTGCTTCCCTCCCCCCTCCAAGAAAATTCTATCTCACTTTACTTTGATTAAATTATTTATGTAAATGATAGACATTCAAAAATGTTTGTGCAAACTGCATTTCTTCCCCCCCATTAGAAATACTGCTCTAGTTTCTAACTGGTTAAAGAGGATTTACAAAAAAAGAAAAGAAAAGAAAGGAAGGAAAGAAGGAAGGAAGGTAAAAAAAGAAAGAAAGAGGAAGGAAGGAAGAAAAGAAAGGAAGGGAGTTCTACTCTGAGGAAAAATTAATCATTTTGCAGATGAAATATGCTTATTAGAACACTAAGTGAAACATGTTTACAAGTGTGACACTTCCACTGCTGGTGCCCTTGTAAAAGCAAGGGACATAATGATGTTACATAAAACAACTTAATAGTCAACTTGAACTAAAAGTTTAAGTCTCCACCTTAGGAAGTTCATGAGCTCTGTTCCTTGGTTATGTACCTTTATTTAACTATATAACCTGGGGGACAAAACAGAAGAGACTCATAAATATGGAGAACAAACTGACGGTTACTGGAGGGGTTGTGGGAGGGGGGGATGGGCTAAATGGGTAAGGGGCACTAAGGAATCTACTGAAATCATTGTTTCATTATATGCTAACTAATTTGGATGTATATTAAAAAATAAAACTAAATTTAAAAAAAGAACTAAAAAAACCAAAACCAAAACAAGCAAACAAAAACTATATAACCCTAATACTTGTCAATCACTGAGATACGCTGAGGGAAAGTATCTGGATAGAGAAGACTGTTGACCTGAACATGTAACCATTACATAACAAGCTAATAGGGGTATCTTCTCTCCCTATCCCACCTACCACACTCACCTATAACCTAGTGGTCAAAGACTCAAAGAGCAGGTAGTCCATCACCTTCGTTTTGTTTTATTTTTTTTTTTAATTTTTTTTAACGTTTATTTATTTTTGAGACAGAGAGAGACAGAGCATGAACAGGGGAGGGGCAGAGAGAGAAGAAGACACAGAATCTGAAACAGGCTCCAGGCTCTGAGCGGTCAGCACAGAGCCCGACGCGGGGCTCGAACTCACGGACTGTGAGATCATGACCTGAGCCGAAGTCGGCCGCTTAACCGACCAAGCCACCCAGGCGCCCCGATCACCTTCATTTTAAACGCTGCTTTGTAAGGTTAAATCCCCAGAGTTTTAAATCAAATTCTATGTTTGGGGAATAAACATTGAGTTACCGAAGAAATGCTGACACAGACAGACTTGAATTCAGAAGATTTAAATAACAAGTCTGTGAGACACAAAGATCAAGTGTAAATGTGATGGCAACAGTTTTATGTGCTTATCTCTTTAAACTTCAACAACAGTAACTCAGATTGTCTAAAATTTGTTATAGCTAATTGGAATAGATTGATCTTAAAAAAAAAAAAAAACACCTTGAATGACAAGATTCGTATCTCAAAAATTCTAAAGCATTGTCGCATTTTCAGCCTATGCGACATAGACATAATTCTTTTGTTTTTAAATTAAGGGGAGGGTAGAGGCACCTGGGTGGATCAGTTAGTTAAGCACCTGACTCTTGGTTTTAGGCTCAGGTCATGATCTCATGGTTCATGAGTTTGAGCCCCAAGTCAGGCTCTATGCTGACAGTCCGCTTAGGATTCTCTCTCTCCCTCCCTCTGCCCCTTCCCTTCTCTCTCTTTCTCTCTCTCTTGATCTCTCCCTCTCTCTCTTTGCCCCTTCCTTTCTCTCTCTCACTTTCTCTCAAAATAAATAAATAAATTAACACACACACACACACACACACACACACACACACACACACACAAATAAATTAAGGGGAGGGGAATAACAAATCTTGCTGCATGAAAGCTACATTGCTCTTTTGATTTTCTCAGATATAAATTTTTGCCAAATGAACAAACATTAATTTACTATTTCCCTGAAAGTTAAGAACAAAACATAGTAAAGACTGCAACCTTTCAAAAATAAACAACTCAACTCAGTTTTCCTCCAAAGAAAATAAATCGTAAAGACTTCCTTTTTTTTCCTTTTTTAAAACAAGTTGGGCCAATGTGTATTCAGATTTCATCATTTCTACAGAGAACCAAAGGAAGTAAAACAAATGAAATTCAGTAGGAATGGGGTGCCTATGGTCCCATTCCTTACATTCGCCTCTCCGCAGGATTTGTGGCTTCCTTACCTTCTGACTTCTTCTGGAGATGCAGCCAACACTGTCATAAAAATCTCATCTCTGGTTCAGGTCCCAGCAGCTTCTGGTCATTTTCTAAGCAGGAGCTGCTGTTCCCTAATCCAGGTCAAGGTACGCTATGCTAATGAGCTCTGGCAGCAGTCCAATCAAAATCCAGATGCTCTCAACGTCATCAGATAGGGAAGAGAGATCCAGGGAGTTACTTAACTAGTCCAACTGTCCCCAGTCCAATTGTGATGGATATCCTATAATTCACCCCTAAACTCTTCCCTCCTTTATGTTAAAAGGGGATTTTAACTGAAATGGGCATTGAAAAGAGCCTCATGAGGAAGTACAGGTGTTTTCCTGCTCATAATTTCATAGGTTGGGCCCAAAGCAGATGGATTAACAGTAGATTCTAATTCTCCTACCACTTACCCCTGCCTGTGTATGAGAGAGAACAGACAGACAGAGGTAGGAAAATATCATGCAAATGGAACTTACTGGGATAGATATTAGATTGCAAACATTCCTAAGCCAGAAATGCTAAAATGCTATTTTATACGTACCAATGATGCCCCCGCTAATTCTGAGTGTTCCAATCCTCTCAAATCATACCATTCTTGGTGCAACTCAGTGGCTCAGTCGGCTGAGCATCTGACTTTTGGTTTCAGCTCAGGTCATGATCTCACAGTTTGTGAGATCGAGCCCCACCTTGGGCTCCATGTTGTCAGTGCGGAGCCTGCTTGGGATTCTCTCTCGCTCTGCCCCTCCCCCACTAGTGCTTTCTCTCAAAATAAATAAATAAAAACTTTAAAAAAATAATACCATTCTCCCTTCTAGAGATGTCCTCAGCCATCTGGGCAGAGCCTAAGTCAGTTCAGCCCACCTGCTATGTCCCAGGCTGTCTGCAAGGCTCAGGGAGAATTAAAGCCATGAAGAAGTTTAATAGTGGAGGGGCACCTGGGTGGCTCAGTAGGTTGGGCGTGAGACTTCAGCTCAGGTCAGGATCTCATGGTTCCTTTAGCTCAAGCCCCACGTTGGCCTTGGTACTGTCAGCTCAGATCCTGCTTCGGACAATCTGTCCCCCTCTCTCCATGACCCTTTCCTGCTCACACTCTCTCTCAAAAATGAATAAACATTAAAAAAAGGTTTAATGGAGGAAAAGATGAATAATAACACTAAATAAGCCGAAGATAACATATGGTATAGAGGCAGTCTAGAAAGAAGATCAAAGGGGAAGGTATGACGCTGGAGGGAAAGCAATCTGGGGAAACTTCTTCCACCATTGTGATGCCTGATCAGCCTTTTGAAGGACAAACAGGTATTTGTCAAGGCATCAAAGAATGGAAAAGTATGTTCCAGGTAGTGGCAATACTGTGGGCAAAGGTAAAGTGGTGTGGAAAGTGCAGTGTGCTCAGAATTAGAAGTAGGTGCCTGTCAGGAAGGTCGTGGCCATGTAAGACAGACTGCGGAGGAAGGGATGAGCAGGCCAGAGGGCAAAATCCTTGGGAAGACGCTTGGCAATCTTGGGCAATGTTGAGAAGATTTCTCACTAGTCTTTCAGGTCATGAATGAATTTCTCTTCTGTCTGGAGGTTGGGACCCTGAAACATTTTCTAGTGCTTTATCTTACTAATTTGATCTG